ATCCAGCCGCCCCCGCTGAACTCGTGCCCGCGATTGTGTCTCGCGCTATCTTCAAGACCAGCATCTGCACTAGGGCAGAGAGCTGGCGCCGTGACCAGGAGACTGCTCCAGAGCCGTCGCGGCGGAGGGCGCCTCGGGCCCCCCCTGGCCCTTGGCCCCGCCACTCAGCGCACCGCGCGTCTCGTCGCTCTCGGCCGGCACGCCGGCCGCGGCCGTGGATCTCGCGCTGTCCGTCTCGTCGAGCGAGACCGGCCCGGCCGCTGGAGCAGCGCGCTGCCGCCTTTCACCGGCTGTGGCCCGCGCCGCCCGCCGCGGCCATGGCCGGCCCCGCTCCGGCGCCAACTGCGGCGGCGGCAGGATGCGCAAAAGCTTTTTTTAACCTGGGGCCAACGCGGCAACGGACCTAACGAACAATGGCAGTGGCTATGTGTCTCTGTTTTCCACGCTGCCGCGCGCGAGCGCCCTCGCGTCCTGTTGACCGCGCGCGCTGAGCCCGGCGCCCTCCTCCAGCGTGGGGCCCCTTGAGTTTCTCGGAAAGCCAAAGGTCGTTGCCGTCGGCCTCCCGGAGCTGAAGGTCTGGTCTCTTCGACTCACGCATTGCGTCGCAGACTCCTTCGCCTCGCGGGCACCCTCGTAGAGCGCTCGACGTCCAACCCGTCGCAGATCGTCTCCATCGCGTTCTCCGCTCACGAGACCCATGCGCTGCAACAGGATGTCGAGCCACTGCTGACCTGTCAACTAATAGTAGGGAATGTCCTCGAACTTCGCTTGTCTGGCGCACTTGAACAGGAGGAGAAGAACTTCTCAGCTCGTCGCCACAGTGGAACGTCTATATTTCGGTTCCGCCGCTGAACCACCTTCTTCCGCTGGCGATCATGTCTCCATCCGGGCCATGCCGGCGGTGATGAGAAGTCTCCTCGTGTAGGCGGCGCCCAGCTCGTCGTCCAGTCCGTGGCTGATCAGTTGTTCTGCTGTCGCCATTGCTGCTGCTGTTGCTCATACCCAAGCTTGCTGCCCCAGTCGTCCAAGGCGTCGCCGCTGGTCAGCTTGTCCTCGGCCCCGCTGTCACCAGGCCAGCCCGTGGACTTGCCTTTCCAGGGATCGTCCTTCAGCCATGGGTCGCCGCTCGCATTCTTTGTCTCGCCACCACTGGTGTCCGCTGCTGCTGATCCAGCCGCCCCCGCCGAACTCCTGCCCGCGACAGTGTCTTGCAATATCTTCAAGACCAGTTCCTGCACCTGGGCAGAGAGCTGGCGCCCTGATCAGGAGACTCTCAGGGGCCGCCGCGGCGGAGGACGCCTTGGGCCTCCCCTGGCCCTTGGCTCCGCCACTCACCACACCGTACGTCCCGTCTCTCTCGGCCGGCATGCCGTCCACTGCCGTGGATCGCACACTGTCCGTCTCGTCGAGCGAGACCGGCCACGCCGCTGGAGCGGCGCGCCGCCACCTCCCACCGGCTGCGGTCCGCGCCACCCGCGTCGGCCATGGCCAGCCCCGCTCCGCTAGCAACCATGGCAGGAGTAGGATACGCAGAAGCCTTTTTCCCTTGAGCCCACCCGGCAACGGACCAAACGTAACAATGTGGTTGGTTCATATGTTTTTGGGGTTTGACCCACTAGCAAAAACCTAAGCCCCTGAAACTGGCACCCCATCACACAAAGTTACTCCACTGGCGCCCGCGGCTCACCGCTTGGATTGCACCAAATCAGAATAGCCAACCGACGTCCAAAAACCACCGACTGTTCCGTGCTCAACATACGCCGGTTTGCGAAACCGACGAGGATAACACTTGTGCAACGCGAGCGTCAGTGTCGAGCGAACTGGCACAGAATTCCTGAATCGACTCGTCTGGGTGGGCGTCATCCCAGTGCCCGACCAGGGGCCTCCAATGTAGCCGAAAGGGGGACCAAGACGCCTCCAAGAAGCCGCAATGCGGCCCAAAAGGGCCCCAAGATGTGCCAAGAGGTCCCGAATAAGGTCCAACAGACCTCCAGAACGGCCACACAACGCCCCAAGACAACCCAGGACTCCAATACGGCCTCCGAAAACGTCAGCAGGGCCGAGCGAGCTCTAACACGGACAAAGGCCCAATACCTCCAACAGGTCCCAAAAGGCCCTTCGGAGGCCTCCAGGAGCTCCCAAGAGGCCTCCTCCCCCTCCTCCTTCCCCTCCTGCACCATCGGCTGGGGACACACATCTTCCAACGCTTTGGGTGGATTTTAGCCCCAAGGTTTGGCAGCCAGGGGGGCGGCGGTGGTTCGCAGCAGGCGGCTGCGATACAGGGGGAAAGCTTTCCAGCCGCAGGCAACCATGGCTAGGGCGACATAATATATCTATATATAACTATGTAGATATATATGCATATATAGATATATATATAATACACTGCTCTTGGCCAGGCTCATCCTGGGACAAGGAACGCTGTGTAAGCCCTCCTGCATTGGCCAGGAAAACAACTATGATCATATATCGGGGGTTCACAGGGCCCCCCCTCCCGCCCAGATAGGATGCGCCCCAAACGACGACGACGACGATGACGACCACGCCCACAGGGCCACGACCACAGGGTGGGGACGACGACGACGACGACGACGACGACGACGACGACGACGACGACGACGACGACGACGACGACACCACGCCCACAGGGCCACGACCACAAGCGGGGGGCTGGGGGGACCCATCGCTCGGGGGGGCGGGGCGGGGGGGGGGAGAAGGCATCAGCACGAGGGGGGGGATTGGAACCCTGGATCATATATATATATATACACACACCACTCCTGGGCCCAGGATGGGCCTGGCCAACGGACGCGGAACGTATGGTTTTCGTCGCCCTAATGAACGGGTTGGCTATGGGCGCTAGGGCAGACACCGAGCGGTACAGGCCTGGACTCCTCAGCGCCACGGTGAGGGCGCCGTGTCCGCCCATGCTGTGGCCCATGATCCCACAGCGGTCCGGCAGCACAAGGTTGGACTCGGCCACCAGACCCCGCAACTCCTTCGTGACGTAGTCAAGCATGTGGTAATGCGTACAATACTTTTCCGTCGTCGCGTTCAAGTAATAGCCTGCCCCCTGGCCGAAACCCCACATCCAGAGCCTGGTCACCTCGGGGCGACGTGTCTGGCATCACGAAGACCTGCCTCTGCGCTGTCTGGTATATAGGCGGAGGATTTCATGCAGCAGCCACCCAGTGTGCTGCTAACGTGCTCATACCGCCGAAGCACCGCGACGACGAGATTTCCCCACAGCCTCTCCTCCCCCTCCGCCACTGGCAGCGGCCCAGGGCCCGTGGCCATGCGGCCACGGCGCGGGGCGGCCCTCTGAGCCCAGATAGGCAAGAACAACGACGACGACGACGATCACGACTGCGGCGACGGCGACGGCGGCGGCAACGGCGACCTGGCGGCCTCGCGCGGGACGCTCGCGCGGCACACCGCCCGGAGAAGAGGACGCTTCTGCGAAACCTTACGAGGGCGTGTTGGGCGCGATGTTCCGCCTGCTCCCCAGGCCTCTCTCGTGGTGCGCTCTGCCGAAGGACCCGACGCGACAAGGGAACCCTACAAGAAGGCTCAAGAGCGCGAAATCGCGGGCATGGGCATCGGAATCGGTATAGGGGATATGTTCACGATAAGACGAGGACCCAAAGCACCGGACGATGTAAATGCTTTCATACGCGGCCCAAGAAGCCCGAAGCGGCTCCCTAAGCGCAATTTTGCGCTGCTCCATCGCTACGTCGGGATAGCTCAGCAAACTGTCGATGTCCTTTACTGGGTGGGAATACTGTCGGAGGGCGGGAACGTAGTATGGTATCCAGTAGGTAAGCGCCTTCGCACTATGCCTGCACAAAAGCAAAATGGTTCAGGCCACTAAGTCTGGTTGGGTTTGGGATTGCGATGTGCTGCTGCGCGTGAAGCTGTACTGCTTTACCATGGGTGGTTGATATCACTGTTGGGTTTGTTGGCGTGTTGTTTGTGTTGCGTAGTGCTGTCGTGCTGGGACGGGCGGTTGCCTGTCGGAAATGGCAATGCTGTCTGCTGCTGTTCTCGCATGGTTGAGCTAGTTCCTCAAACCGTGCTTGCACGTACGGGTTCTCAGTTATCTTCTAAGGAACTGGGCCTGCGTGCCGCTCTGGCCGCCACGTAGCAGTCGTCGCCGCCTTGTCGCCGCCCGTCGCCGTCCGTCGCGTGGGCCTGCGTGCTGATCTGGCCGCCATGTCGCCGCCTCGTCGCCGCCCGCACGTACCCGCCCGTCGCATGGGCCCGCGGGCCGCTCTGACCGCCGTGTCGCCGCCGTCGCCGCCTCGTCGCCACCCGTCGCCTCGGCCTGCGAGCCGCTCTGGCCGCCATATCGCCGCCGTCGCCGCCTCGTCGCCGCCCGCTTTGCATTGCTTCGCATATGTTTGCCTAGTTTTTGTTACATTGCTTTGCATTGCTTGGCGTTGCTTTGCATTGATTGCATTGTGTTGCGTTGCTGCTTCCGCTTGTGGACCCTGCCCCGATGAGGCTGTGCGCGGCGAAGATGGCCGCGCTGCTTCGCCCCAGAGGCAGCTGGATGCTGCCGCCGCCCCCGTGCCCGATGACGGATCAAGATCCTCTGGCCGAGTTTTTCAATGTCATTGGTTGACCTGCCCCCGTCGTCGTCGCCCTTTCCCGCCCTCCCCCGCCGCACACGTGGACTGCTACGGCGTGCAGTCGTGGCTGGAGGGCGAGGCTGGATCGGCCCGACGCGCGGGGAGGCGGGCCCTTCCCGCTCTTGCCCCTGGTGTTTGCCAGGGACTGAGCTCATCGAACTGGACCACCTCCTCGGGGCTTTCCCCTTGGTGGTGGCGCGGAATCTGCGCCCCCGCCTCCTCCTCCTCATCATCCGCCCTCTCATCCTCCTCGTCCGCCCTCTCCCCCTCCTCCTCCGCGTCGACCCCCCCCCCCGCCACCCGAGCAGGGCTCGACGGGCGCATTGGCCCCGCGGCGCGCGCCGCGCTCGCTGAGGCCTCGGGGGGCCCTCACGCCGCATCCACGGCCGCGGCCCTCGGGTGCCCCTTCGCACTGAGCTCCACCGTGAACCTCAGCGTGTCCGCCACCTTCGCCCACGGGCGACCGCCCCCCGCCTCGTGACGGCGGCTCGCTCCCGCCGCCGGCCTCCCGCCCGCCCGTCGCACGAGCCCCGCCCGCACGGAGGGCCCGTGGCTGTTGCTGCGCGGCCGTGGCCGCACGGGGCACCGCCACCGCCCGCCCGCCGCCCGCCGCAGCCCGTCGGCCGCCGTCGTCGCCGCCGTCGTCGCCGCCGCCCGTCGTCGTCCTCCACCTGCGCCCACGAGCAACACACAATGCCAGCGACGTGCCACCGTCGGGAACCCCTCGGCGCGTCGCCGGTGAAGAAGCACCGGGTCTTCGGGCAGAAACGGGCTCCCAACGGCAGCCCGTTTCTGCCCGAAGGAGGAGGAGGAGGAGGAGGAGGAGGAGGAGGAGGAGGAGGAGTATCAATGACACGCTGACGGGCTCCCAACGGCAGCGTGCTACTCATGCTCTTCCTCCTTCCGGGATCCTCGACACAAGCACGACGCGGGAGCGGCCAAGAGGGGGGTGTCCAAGAGGGGGGGGGTGCAAATCATGACCGGCGGCACGTGCGCGGCCCAGCGGGGGGGCCAGGGACGCAATGAAACAAGAAGAGGCGCCATGGAATCTGGGGAAATGTCATGGCCCCCGCCGTGATATCCACCCCCCCCTAGTCATCACCCCCCTCCTTTCCGCCCCCGAACGACGGCGGGCTCTCGGCATCTCTCTGCCCCGGGCCGAACAAGCAGACCCGGGGCACGGAGTCGAGCTCTCCGGGACAAAAAAAAAACACGACGTCGGAGGTCGGGACCACGAGCGGCAGGCCCACCGTAGCACGGCCGCGCAACAGAGGTCTGGAGATCCACGGCGCGATCCCATCTGGGACTCCACGTTACAGTTTGATGGGCGCAAATCTAACCATCCTCGAACTTACACCCTGCGAAATGGTTAAGAAATCCGCCGACCCCTTGGGGTCATCGGCGTGTGAGATGCTTCCCCCCTCCCCAAACCCCTCCCCCCGGAGCCTGGTCCGGTCGTTTTGGAGGGGGGGGGGGGGGGGTCCGGCCGGATTCCCCGGGATCCGCCGGCGCGGTCCGGGGGGGGTCATCCGCTCCAGAGAGTCTGCTGGGGGGGCCGCAAACGAGCGAAGAGGCTCCCAAGAAGCTCTGCAGACGGTCCAAGAGGGCCCCGAGTCGCCGAAAAAACACTCGAAGACGGTCAAGATGGCCTCCAGATGGCCCCAGATGCCTCCAAGACGCCCCAAGAAGCTTCCAAGACGCCTCCCAAGATGGCCCCAAGAGGCCAAAATCGTCGATTTCCATTGGTTTTTTCAACGTTTTTGGCCTTCGCGTTTTTTCGGGCTTCCGACGCTCCAAGACGGCGAAAGAAGCCCCCAAGACGGCATCAAGACGACCCGAGAGGCTCCCAAGTGGGCCCCAACACGGCCCAAGAGCGCCTCAAAACGGCTCAAGAGGGCCTTCAGACAGTCCAAGAGGGCCCACAGAGGGGCCCAAGAAAGGCTCCAGACGGGGACCACGAACCTAAAATTCTAGCCTTCCGCCCCAAAAGGCGCCAAGGAGGCCCCAAGAGGCCTCCAAGAGGCTCCAAGAAGCCCCCAAGAGGCCCCCAACAAGCCCAAAAAAAGCCCCAAGCTGCCCCAAAACAGCTCCCCAGAAGCCTCCAAACTGCCTCCCGCAGGCCCCCGAGAGGATTCTCACGACGACGGCGCCAGAGGCTCCCACAACGGCTTTTTCGGCTTCCGGACGCTCCAAGACGGCCCAAGAGGCCCCCAAGACCGCCCCAAGACGGCCCACGAAGCTCCCAAGACGGCGCCGAAACGACCCAAGAGAGCCCTCAAGACGGCCCAAGTGCCGCCCAAGACGGACCAAGAGGCCCCAAGACGGGCCCAAGAGGGACTCAGGAGGGATACCGAGAACTCAAAAATGGAGCCCTCCGTCCCAGAAGGCGCCCAGGAGGTCCCAAAGAGGCCCCAAGAGGCCTCCAAGAGGCCCCAAGATGTCGCCAAGAGGCCCCAGGAGACTCCCAGGAGGCCCAAAAGAAGCCCCAGAAGGCTTCAAACATGTCTCCCAGGCGCCCCCGAACGGCCTCTCAACAGACCCCAAGAGGCCCCCCAAAGAAGCATCTTGACGACGACTCTATTTCGCCCCATCGAGAGACGACCCCCAGGGAACTGCTTCACCATCAAAACTCCCCACGCAACGCGTCCGAACGACACCCGCCCCCAAGAGCGCAACATGGGCAACGAACACACAGACAAAAACCAGCGATGCCATATCACGGGCCGGCGGAATGAGCGAAGCGATTCAATAATTCGTCGTGGGTTCTCGCCCCTTTCCCCATGCGTGCACGGCGAATACTGAAAATGTCAGCCCAAGAGGTCCCCGAAAAAGCTCCGAAAATGGCCCCGCGAAGCCCCAAACGAGCTCCAAGAAACCCCCCAAACAGCCCACAAGAGGCCCTCAGTAGCAACGCGTAACAACCGCCAGTTCCCCGGGGGGTCGGCGGTGTGGCGCAAGCCCAAGAATCATGGGTTAAGAAATTCATAGTCTCAGAACTTGAATACAAACCCACCATTTCTATTAAAATCTTGGGATTTACGTTGAAACATTAAGAATAATCGAGACCCTGGCCGAAAACGTAGGTTTTCTTAAGCATCGCATACGGTGTATCCCTATCCCTAAGATTGACACGCCCAAAGGCGATGACAATCGTAGGGATGCACCCTCAGAAACTGAGGCAATCCCTAAGATCGCCATAGTGATGAGGCGATGGCCAACATTGGGATAGGGATAGGTTCCAGGCTGGTAAAAATCGGATTGAGCGACTTATCGGTTTGACTCGAGTGACTCGCACAGTCGGACTGCAGGACCCAGCTAGATCCTACAAGCACGACTGTCATAGTTTCATGAATCCTGCAAGCCATAAGTACTTGTCAAGTCAACCTCGGAAGAGGCACTGAGCATTTCAGCTTTTTCCTCGGCGGTGCCCGCTTGTCCTTCTGGTTTGCCCAGGTGCGCCAAGCGGGCGCCTCGTTCGCAGGCTAGGTTTCGACCCACACAGATTGCACCGCATATATTGGACCGCGTAGATTGCAAAATCACCCGGGTGACTCCAACCTAAGACCCATGGAGGCCCAACCGGAAAGAAAAAAAAATGGGGCGCGCCGAAGAACCCAGGGGGTCCGGTTTCCGCGGAGGAAAGAAAAAAACCCTGGCGATGGGGTTCGAGCACGGGGGTTACCCCCCCCTCAAATTCCGGAAGAGGAATGAACTCCCAGCCGCGGGGGTGCCCGCGCGAGGGGTCCCACCCCCCCAAGCGCAACCAGAGGAAGAAAAGCGTGAGAGCCGAGACTGTAAGTGCAATGCAACAACACCTTCATCGCGGTTGCACTAGGGATTTGCATTAGTACGGCAGGACAACGTGCTCTCTAGGAACAACTGCGCGATAGGACATGGTAGTACCAGTTGTACTCAAGTACGAGTTGTACGGTAGTCGGAGGGGTTCAGGGGTTCCAACGGCAACGCGCGCGGGGAAGAAGGAAAGAAATCCATGCGCCGCCAGGGGTCCCGGGTTTAACGGGTCGCCGCGAAGGTTGACCCCCCGCGGAAAGAAGAAAAGAAATCCGGCCGGGGGGTTGGGGGGTTGAGGGATGAGTCACGGGGGCGATATTGCAAACAAAGCGTGCCCCCCATAGATTGCACCTCGCGGCTTGTACTCCATGGTTTGAACCACGTCGGTTGCACGGCATCGGTTACACCACACGGTTAGCCCTCAATATACATATATACAAATGCAGATACATACACACATATTTCACCTTGCCGTTTGCTCTGAATGCGCCCAGGCAGACGAAGCCGGCACTGCGGCAACCTCCACGGCAAACTTTGCGTCCGGAGCGGAGTTTGCCCTGGCTGCCGAACCGCCCTCCCCAAAAGTCAAGGCCGCGCGTCGGCGCAAACGGCGCGTCGACACATGTATAGGTGCGTAGATGCAAGACAGCCAACGCGGACTCCAAATAATATAATGTTGCACACAATGCAGGTCTGGCATGCTATGCGATGCGTTCTGTGTGTGGTGCAATATCGGCGCTCCCAGATATGCTGTGAACGCTACGCGGTGCAAGCTATGCGATGCAAGCTAGGCGGGGCAATGTACGCGTGCAAGCTATGCGAAGCGAGCTGCGATTTGCAAGAGAAATTGGTGCCAACAGTATGATGTAATCGACATGGCGCACCCTATGTGGTGCACGCTATATATATATATATATATATATATATATATAGCGTGAGCTACGTGGTGAAATATATGTGAACTCCCTTGAACAAAACCTGATGCATTACTCAAGGAGACGGGAACGGGGGAGCGGACATTTGTGGTGGACGCTTGGGATGAATCCGAATTGGACCCTCGGGATGAGTCCGCATTGGACCCCCGCCCGTCGGCGGGGGAAAAACCTGCAGGGTGGGAGGGTGGAAAGGAGAAAGCAGCAGCAGCCGCTCTAGCCAGACGGCTGCCAGGGAGAGGGAAGGAAGAAGAGAGAGAGATGCACGGCAGGGGAAATTGCCCCGCCAACGGGAATACCCCCTAACATAATCCGATTCTCCTGGACAAAAGCCGATGCAGTACTCAAGGAGAGGGGAGCAGGGGAGCCAACGTTTGCGGCGGACGCCCGGGATGAGTCCGCATTGGATCCCTGCCCCTAACGCCCGTCCGGGCCCGACCCCCATGCCCCCCCGTTCGAAAAGAACAGCGCGGCGCGGGCCGCGGGACTGACCGCGCGCGTCCCGCGCGCACATGCAGAGGTGCCAAGGGCAGAGCGAGCCCGCTCCTGGCGGGCGCCGAGGCGGGCCCCCCCGGGGCCGGCCTGCAAGCCAGACTGGCACCGAACGAGCACCAGCGGGCTCGCCCCGCCACGCATCGGGTGCCATCGGGCGCCTCGGCCCAAAAGGTGAGCTCCCCCACGGGTTCTGTCGGTACCTGGGCTCCTCCCACGGGTTCCGTTGGT